AGGAAAGATCTGGAGGAAGATCTGGGAGAAGATCTGGGGGAAGATCTGAGGAAAGGTCAGGGGGAAAATGCTCGGGAAGAATCCGTGGGAAGATCCGGAGGAGGATCCGGGGGAGGATCTGGAGAAGATCTGGGGGAAAATCTAGAGAAGAACGCGCAGGGATGATCTGGAACAAGATCCGAAGAAGATCGATCCGGGGAACGCCGTCGCCGTCGTCGTCCAAGGGCCGTCTGGGCCACCCCGAGCTGGATCGCAGCTTTACATCCCGGATCCGTTCCTGATGGCCCCGGGGCCCGAAGACGGCCCCGAGAGGGGCCGAAAACGATGAAAAAACCCTCGCACCTCAAAGCATATGAACTATGAAAAAACCCTCGAACCTCAAACCCTCGAACCCTCGAACTATGAAAAAACCCTCGAACTATGAAAAAACCCTCGAACCCTATGAAAAAACCCTCGAACCTCCTCTTCGGCAGAAAATCTGCTCAAGAGGGGTCCGCGGACCCCTCCCGGGGTCGCAGCGCGCCAGCTTTTCGCGCACCCGAAGGCCAGAAGGTCTCGAACCTCGATCCCCCAAATCTGTGGGGAAGATCTGGGGGAAGATCTGGAGGAAAGTCTGGGAAATATCTGAGGGGGATCTGAGGGAAGATCTGGGGGGAGATCTGGTGTGAGATCTGTGCGCGATCTGGAAGAAGATTTGGGGGAAGACCTGGGGGGGAGATCTGGGGAAAGATCTGGGAGAAGATCTGGGCGAAGACATCTAAGGGAAGATCTGGGGGAAGACGTGGAGAAATATCTGGAGGATGATCTGGAGGAAGATCTGGGGGAAAGATCTTGGGGAAGATCTGGGGGAAGATCTGGAGGAAGATCTGGGAAAAGATCTGGGAGTGGATCTGGGGGAAGATATGGGGGGAGATCTGGGGGGGGGATCTGGGCCAGGATCTGAGGGAAGATCTGGGTGAAGATCTAGGAGGGGATTTGGGCGAAGATCGGGGTGAAGACCCGGGAGGGGGATTCTTGGGGGAAAAGGAGGAGAAGATCATAATAACGATATGGAGGAAGACCTCAACATCTGCGTGACGATCTGGGAGGAGATCTGGGTGAAGATCGGCGGGGAGATCAAAGGAAATATCTGGGGGAAGATCTGGGTGAAGATCTGGAAGACAATCCGGAATAAAATCTGGGGGAAGATAGCCGTGACCATTGTTTTAACTAGGTTTTCGAGTATCACTCGCGCGATGACGGCAGGGCATTGAACAAAACAAGGAATTAAACAATATGTTTTTAGAATAGGCCCGCGTGACTGAGGCATGCCGTCCTAGTTTGTTTGAACTCCCTGTACACTAGACACCCAGATGATAAAACAAAATCCCTACACATCGATGGGGGCCACATATTTAGACATCTATGCCGAAGTCCGTTCATCGCAGATTGCAACCTGTCTCTGCATCTTGATCTGTTGTGTAGTATCCCTGTATGTTGCATCGTTATCACGCTCTCTGCCCCATCTCATCCTCATCATCAACGTCTTAGGGGTGTTGTTGCAGATCCAGCAAAGGGGACTCGAAATATGATGAGGGTGAACATGCCGCTGAAGAGCACGTATATTATGATGAGTAGCAGCAGGCGGCAGAGAATTACAAGGAACAGGGTGATGGTAGTAAGTATGATGATGGTAGTGATGATGAGAGAAGGGCACGGAACCTGAACTAAGCATCTATGGCTAAATACGCTCCTCGGAGAAATCCTGTTTCTCATGATCTTGCTTCTCCTCATCATGTTCGTTATCCTCACCACCAACGTCTTGGGTCTGTTGAGGTCTACCCAGGCGAGGAGGAGTCGAACGAAGATGATTGTGATTATACCGATGAGGACGACATGTATGATGAGGAGCAGCAGGCGGATGAGGACTGGGCGAAGCATGGTGGTGATGGTGATTATGCAGATGATGGTGATGGTGATGAGGGGGAACATGTGGATGACTATGATGAAGTGTTGATGTGGCTGGCGATGATGAGGGGACGAAGTGGAGAATAACTACGAGGACGTTGACGATGATGACGGTGATTCTCATGATGAAGAAAGCCACGTGGAGGTGGACGAGGAGCATGAAGATCATTGATGGTCCGTTGATGAATTTGACGGTGAATGTGATGATTGTGATGATTGTGATGATGATGATGATGCTGATGATGATGATTATTATTAGAAAAGGGTGAACGATGAAAACAAGAGAAAGGAAAAGAAAAAAGAAAACGGGTGTGGAAAACGAGCGGGATAATGAAAGACAGACGAGCGACGAACGGCAAAAAGAACGGACGAAAGGACGTGAATGGGGAGGGGCGGGAAGAGAGCGGGGATACATAAAGCAGCCGGCCGGGCCGGCCGGACGGTCCGTGGCGATTGCTCTTCGCGATAAAAGCCCTCCTCCCTCCCATATCCTCCACCTCCTGCACCCGTTCTTCCTCGTCGTTGTCGTTCCCCTCCTCCTCATCCTCAGAATCCTCCTCATCATCACCATCGTCCGTATGCCTCATCACTATCAACATCATCGTCACCAACAACATCCCTCGTCATTCTCGTCGTCATCGACGTCGCCAACGCCATCATCATCCCTCCTCTCCATCCTCCTCTCCATCCTCCGCATCATCAACGACATCAGCATCACCATCATCATCAGCATCACCATTATCATCATCACCATCATCGTCGTCTTCACCATCCCTCATCATCAGCATCATCAGCATCATCAGCATCATCAGATTCATCATCCATAATCAATTATCCTCCTCCGCCTCATCATCCTCCGCCTCCTCCCCATCATCCTACTGGCCATCATCATCCTCATACCGCATCGTCCTCCTTGATTTACTTCCTATCATCAACATTATCATTCGCAGCATCTCCACGTATCCTCCCCCTCAGCATCATCCTCAGCATCATCCTCCCCCTCCTCCTCCTCATGATCAGCATCAACATCAGCATCATAATCAGCATCAGCATCAGCAGCATCAACATCCTCATCCTCGTCCTCATCCTCATCCTCATCCTCATCATCATCCCCATTATCCCCATCAGCCTCACACTCGCCTTCACCGTCACCATCACCATCACCATCAGCAGCAGCAACAACAACACGATCGCAACACCTCCTCCTCCTCCTCCGCATCGTCACCATCACCACCTCCTCAGGCGCACGATGAGGGGAGGGCGTGAAGTCAGGAATTCGAGGCGAGTGGGGGGCGTGAGGCGGAGAAGGAGGCGGAGGGTGATTGGGAGAAGGAGGAGGAGGAGGAAGAGGAGGAGGAGGAGGAGGAGGAGGAGGAGGAGGGTGAGGGGGAGAAGGAGGAGGAGAAGGAGGACGAGGACGAGGACGAGAAGGATGAGGACGAGGAGGACGAGGAGGAGGAGGAGGAGGAGGAGGAGGAGGACGAGGAGGAGGAGGAAGAGGAGGAGGAGGAGGACGAGAGAGAGAGGAGGGAGGAGGGAGGAGGAGGACGAGGAGGAGGAGGAGGGAGGAGGAGGAGGAGGAGGACGAGGAGGAGGAGGACGAGGACGAGGAGGATAAGGAGGAGGAGGACGAGGAGGAGGAGGGGGAAGATTGGGAGCACGAGGAGCATTCGAAGCCGAATCGAACCCGGGTCGAACTGGAGTCGAGCCAATCCGCTGGGTGGGCCAGCCACAACGAGCCCGTGCCAGGCCCTGGCCCTCGCCCGCCCCGCCCCCCCCCTCCCTGAGGAGGAGCAGGAGGAGGAGGAGCAGGAGGAGGTGAGAGGAGGAGGAGCATCAGGAGGAGGAGGAGCAGGATGATGATGAGGAGGAGGAGCAGGAGGACCAGGAGGAGGAGGAGCAGGAGGAGGAGGAGCAGGAGGAGGAGCAGGAGGAGGAGGAGGCCGACGAAGCCCCCCCCCCTCCCCCCCCCACGAGGCGCCCCACGAGCGTTGGCCAGCGGGCTGCCGATGGGGGCAGCCACACGGGGCAGCAGTCGTCCCAACCCCATTGGGATTGGGGCGATTACCGCGTGGGCAAGTCAAGTTCCACCACGGGAGTATCCCATGTGAACGTTTTCTCATTCTGCGTTTTGACATTGGGCGGAAGGGGGGGAACGGGGGGGGGTGGCTTTGGACCTCTGCTTAGTGCGGCTGTCTGCAACAGTGCGTCCTGTGGGGGGGGACCCCGCCTGCTTGAGCCAGGCGCCAAAAACAGCCAAGATCTACTCCATGGGGGGGTGGGCGAGAGCCCGCGCCGATCGGCAGAACAAGTAATGAGAGAACGATCACATTTCAAGTTCTCCCACGGGAGTATCCCGTTGAGAATTTGCTTGGTTAGCACGCTCGCTTTCGTCGTCCTCCCAGCGTCCAAGACGGCCCCCGGTGCCCCCAAGATGGCCCCAAGGCGGCCCACAAGGCCCCTAACAGAGATCCAAGGCTGCCCTATAGGGCCCCAAGACGGCCCCAGGGGCCCCCTGAAACGGCCCAGGGCAGCACCAAGAGAGCCCTAAATGGGGCCAATGAGGACAGGGAGGAGGAGGAGGAGGAGGAGGAGGAGGAGGAGGATAGGAGGAGGAGGAGGAGGAGGAGGGAGAGAGGAGGAGGAGGAGGAGGAGGAGGAGGGAGGAGGAGGAGGAGGAGGAGGAGGAGGAGGAGGAGGAGGAGGAGGAAGGAAGAAGGAGGAGGAGGAGGCGGAGAAAGAGAAAGAGATGGAGGACACGAACTGAAATTTCCGGCCTTTCTCCCAACGATGGCCCCAAGAGACCCCAGGAGCTCCAAAGAAACTGCAGAGAAACTCCCCAGACGCCGAGAGACGCGCCCGGGACGCCCACCCCAGAAGGACTCGCCGCCGACGTCCTCCTTCTTCTGGGGGTCGGCCGCACGGCACCAGTTGTTGCACTACAAATGATTCACGCTTTACTGACCATGCCAAGATCAAGACGATGCTCAATTCTGCTTTCCTGCCGGGGCCAACAACTTATGACCACTTCAAAAACTCTGAATCGGGAGCGCCTGCAAAGCAGGCGGCTCGAGGCACTAGCAGCTCCGCTGCCTCCAAAGCTGAAGCCCCTAAGGGAAGAAAAGGAAGAAGGAGAGAGGGGAAGGACGGTGGGGCCGCTAAAAACTGGAGCATGGATGATTACCGTGCTACCGTTGTCGGCATTCTCCGTGTCGCCAATCATTCAAGAGCGAGCTCTACACATGATTCACGCTTTAGTGACCATGCCAAGATCAAGACGATGCTCAATTCTGCTTTTTCTGCCGGGGCTAAAAGCTTATGGCCACTTCAAAAGCTCTGAATCGGGAGCGCCTGCAGAGCAGGCGGCTCGAGGCACTAGCAGCACCGCTGCCTCCAAAGCTGAAGCCCCTACCCACCTCCAAACAGTGTCTTGGCCCGCTGGCTGATCGCATTCGCCAGCTCGGAACAGAGAGAAGGGGGATACGGGAAGGCACGGGACGTCCAGAAGGTGCCCTGGGCATCTTTGCCCCGCAGAGTGATGTGCCTTTTTTTCCAGGGACACTGCAGCGGCTCTGAGTGCCCGAGCAGGCGCAGAGATCACCGTCGAGCTCGGGCAAGCTGAAGGCCAAAAAATCGTGGCTTTGCGCCACGGCACATTATACGGACAATAGTCGAAACGATGAAACTTCGCATTGCGTACATTAGCTAGCTCACGCAGTTGCGGCGTCATCCAGAGCCTAGATGTGGCAGGGTTCTCGACCAGAACAACAAGATCAGCGGCGACGGCTTCTTTGATCAGGCTCAGGATGTGTTTAAACATCAAATTAGCGCTGTCTACCTTTCTCTGATCGGCGGGACAGGAGGGCGGGCAGGCCAAAAAGGCGCTGGTCACTTCGCAGCGGCGGCGGCCCAAACCCGTCATTCTTTCTGGCCCTCGACCATGTCTTACAGTCCAAGCCGAAATGCAGGCCGCACAGGCGACGCTGGCGGATGCGCTGCCTGAAACCCTGCGCCCCGTCGATGTAGTCCCAGCCCTCGGAAGCAAGCCCGCGCTCGCCGACGGCGGCCGCGAGGTGGGCGGAGCCGCGCATGAGCTCGGCGAAGGGCGGGATGCCTGAGCTGAGCCCGGGCGGCGGCCCGAAGCGGCGCGGAAGGCCTTGCTCGCCTGGCCCGCGGGCCGCCGGCGCGCCGCTTGCGCCAGCCGCGCAGCCTTAGGCTCGCCAGCACAAGCCCCTCGAATTTGTCTGGCGCCTCGCGCGCCCGCTTGAGCGGAGCGGGGGGCAGCGCGGCCCCCTGCTGCTGGACCAGGGCGCGGGCCTCGTAGCGTCTGACACTCTTGTCGGAGGCCCACCTCCCTCGCTCTTTGATCTCGGGCAGCGAACGCAGCCGCCGGAATCGGTCGTCGGAGGGGCCCCCGCGACGGCGCTGGCACAGCGCGAACCTGTTGGGGATGCCGAGGGGCGCGGCGGCCCAGATGTCCCGCAGCTGCAGCACTGTGAGGTCAAAGAGCGGCCGCGCGGGCAGCCCCGCCTTGCGGCTCTGCATCGCGCCGCCCAGCCACAGCGCCTCCACGGAGTCCAGCGGGGGCGACTCGTCGGAGAGCTTGACCTCGCTCACCTCGCCGCGCTCGCTGGGGCGCAGGTTCGCGGCGAAGAAGGGCGACGACGTCGTGGGCGGCACCAAATCTTGTTCCAGCAGGCCCTACGCCTCGGAGGGGCGAAAATATGCGAGAAACATGGTGAGCACCATCAACGCGGCCCCTGGCTGCTTGAGGGTCGTGATCATGATCTGGGCGATCAGGGCCGTCAGAACCCATGGGGTCGGAGGGCGCGCGACTCCTGGGTCGAGCCTCTCCCGCCCCTGCAGGGCCCGCGGCAGACGCGGGAGGCGGAGCCCGCCGCGACGGGAAAAGCCGGGAAACTCCGAGACGAACGCCGCGCAGACCCGCTGGACCGCGCCCTTGTCGAGACCCTCGGCCCGGGCGAAAATGGCTCAGCTCCAGAGCGCCAGGCCGGCCGCCGCAGGCGTGGCCAGGGAAGAGCCCGTTCGCGGCGACAAACTGCTTGCGCTCCGCCATGCACTCCGCGTAAGTTTTCTGCGTGTCGGGGGCGACGGCGTTGGCCTGCAGGAACGACTGAGTGCCGGGAGCTGCCGGCTGGAAGCTCCCTGAGGCCGCTGATCGCCCGGCCGACCTCTCCTCCCTCGCGCTGCCCCCGAAGGGCCGCCCGCGCAGCTGCTCCTTGCGAAACGCGATCCGAGCCTGGCCGACTCGGCGGGCGGGCGCGCGACGCAGTCGAGAGGTCTCCATGAGGGCGCCCCCACCGGCGAGAGCGCTTGTCCGAGCGGTTCAGCTCCGACGGGATCCAGCGATTCTCGAACCGAACATTGGCTGCGACGGAACACGCTGCCTCCCTACGGCAACACGGGAGCAGACCAAAAGCAGAACACCTGCCCCGAGATAGCGCCAAAACGGTCCCCATATTGTCCCCGAGCTTCCGGTGTCGCTTGTTGAAGGTCCTCGTGGACCTGAGGATGTGCCTAAAAGCCGCGCTGCTGGCCCTCCCCTCCAAGACCGTGATGCTTTCCGACGCGTGGAACAGGGCCGCGAACACTTCGGTCCAGGCCTCCTCGCTGAGCACGCCGTGCGGGACCTCGTCGAAGTCCGGATTGAGCTCCCAGGGGTCCTCTGAGCAGAATTGGTCCTTGGTACTCATGGCTGTGCTGATGTCCCCGAAGACATCCATCTTGACGTCGTCGCGGGCCCCGATGGGGCCGTCCCCGAAGCCGGCCTCGCACGGGTCCCCGTTCACGTCCTCCGCGGGGCCCTCCCCGAAGCTGGCCTTGCAAGGGTCCCCGTTGGAGTCCTTCTTGGAGCCCTTCGCGAAGCTGTGCCCACGAGCTGACTTCCGCGCCGACGCCGCTGTCGGCACACGGCACCTCCACCTCTCACTCACTCTCCCGATGGCCGAGACGACGGAGATGGGAAGGTCGGTTGTTGCCGCGGCCATCCCAGAGAGGCAAGCATCGCTGGCGCCCACCGCTGGGCGCCATGGCATTCGCAAATTACTGAACATAACACATAGCAGCGAACGGCACTGGAAAACCTCCGCCGCTGCCGAGGGCCACAGGCGTCTTCTCTGCGCACTGTTCTCGGATGAAGTCTTCGAGGGGCCTGGGGACGCACAGCAGTTCTCTCCGAAGCATGATGTGATCGATAACGTGTCCGGCGAAGCGTTCAATCTCCCTGCCTGTGACCCTCGGCCTACGTTCAAACCAAAGGCAAGCCTGCCTGAGCCTCTCCACACGTTCTGGGCGTGAGAAGACCATCACGTGCACGCCGTCAACAAGACGGCCCAGGCTGGAGAAAATAGACGAGGCACGCACGACCTCGTGGATCTCGACGCCGAAGGCGGTCCAGCTAGAGATAATGTCGTCTAACATGCTGTCGCGATGGCGCGGGTCCGCCCCGACCACGTTGATGTTGTCACAATAGGGGGGGCAGACGCGGCCTTCCCCCCTCCAGGGGTGAAACAGGGCCGCGGTCCGTGAGCAGACGCTCAGGACCGACCGACGCGGCCTGCAAACACCGAAAGACGTTGCAGCGCTGCCCCAGCCAGAAGGCCCAATTCCACCCCATTGGGACCACGGAGAGGAAGGGCCAGACCCGACCCCCACGCTCCACCAGAGGCGAGTCGACCGCACTGCACCCCCCCCCCGTGACAGCATCGCCTCGGGCACCGGCGGGAGGGAAAAGAACGAGCCGAGCTCCTCCCTCAGCCCAAGTGCGTAGAAATAATTGCAAATGTCGGCCTGGGCGCAGTACAACGTGTCCTCGAACGTGCCAGCCTCGTCGACGCCGCACCCGAGACTGATCCTCCCGTAGGCGGCGGACGTGCCCATGCCCTTGGGGGGTGCGTGCTTGAAACGTCTGTTGGGGATGCGCGCGCCCCACACCAAACGCTGCTGGCCGTTCTTCTTCGAGACAGAGAACGGCGTCACCAAGTCCTTAGGATTGAAAGTGAAGGAGACCATCTCTGCGGACACGAGATCGCTCACGAACGCGACGCAGGCATCCTCGTGCTTCCGCAGGTACTCGCCCATGCAAGGGGTGATGGGGGGCTCGGTCTCGACGGCCCTGCCCCAGTCATCAGCAGAGCGCAGCATGTGCTCCTCGAAGTGCAGCAGATACTCCCTCCCGATCGGGTCAATCACAGCCTCGACCCGAGGCGCAGCCGACCCCGCTCTGGGGATGTCTACTCGGGATCTGTCATACCGCACAACTGGCGTCTTTGCCTCCTCGCCTGTGTACGAGAAGCTGGTAGCCAGAAGCTCGCGAGCGGCCTCGCGGCGGGCGCGCGCGGCGCTGACTCTTGGGGCAGCCTTCGCCTGAGAAAAAATGGCCTGATGGGCCTCTGAGCTGCATTGGCAGGGCCATGCTGCGGCAGCGGAGGATGTAGTAGATCGATGCCGTCAATCACCTCATTGAACTCCGGCGAGCAAGCCTGCGGCGGACACACTCCGAAGCCCCTTGCCTCGTGGGCGCAGCCACCTCGACCCTCGGCAACGGCCAGGCTTGGCGGACAAAGCTGCGGCGGGACGCCCCCGCTCAGAAGCCTGCTGTCGGCTGGAGCGCGGCCCGAAACTCTTGCCTGAGGACGTCGCGATCCTGCCCCCCCGGCTCCGCCTGGGGGATGCTTGCCTGACTTCCTCAGCTTGGCCTCCCCCTTAGCATTGCGCTTCTCCTTCTGGATGGCGACCTCGTCCTTGAGGCTCTCGGCGGCGTGCTTCTGGACAGCTGGCGCCACCGAGGCCCCGCCCTTCCTCGTCTGGGGCCCCATGTAGAGGTCGGCCGCGGAGTAGTCGGGGTTCGAAGGCGAACCTCGGTGGGCGCCCCCGATGAGCTGCAGGCGCCGCGCCAGGAGCTCCGCCGACTGGGGCGCGCCTATGTTGAGCTGGTCCACGGTCAGCATCGACTCCAGCACGCGGCAGATCATCTCATGCGCGTGAACCGAGCGGTCGCCCTCAGGGACCCGCGCACTTCGCACCCAGCTCTCATGGTGGGTCACCGCTCAGAGCCCCGCGTCGCGCCATGTCGGAGGAACGCGAGGTGAGACAAGGGGGGTGAGACAACGGTTTGGGGGGTGCGAACACTGGGGCCCAGAAGCCCCTGACGGCGTCGATGCCATCGCGTTGCGATGCGCGCCACTGCCACCGAACGAACAATAGCACGCGCAAGCGAAAACGCCACTGCGCGATAGCGCAGTGGTTGTCGCCACGTCAGATATAATATTTGAGACTTGAGCCGACAGCTTCGCCCCGTGGGCAAGCGCCCCAGGTAAGAGGCGGAGGGGGAGGGGGAGGAGGAGGAAGAGGAGGAACAGGAGGAGGACGACGAGGAAAAGAGCGAGGATTTGGGGAGAAGGACGGAGCAGAGTTAACAGGGAGAGGGTGAGGAGGAGGAGAAATGATGAAGTAAAATGGAGAACGAGCGGGCGTGGAGGAAGCGCGGGAGCGGAGGGGGACTGCGATGATGGGGGAGGAATTGGGCACAGCGTCGCAGGGGTTTTGGCCCTCTTGAACCGCCGTTCCTTTTCCGCCAGCACTCGGGGGATGGGTCACGCGGGGGAATGCGGTCAGCCTAGATATGACGTGCCCAAGAACACTCCCGTTATGATTGCGAGCGCGCCTATTGTTTCCTCGGCCCCTCCTCCTCCTTCTCCTCGTTATCATTCTTCTCTTCTTCCTTTTTCAGTTCCAGGGCATGCCGGGATTAGTTCCCAGCCTCGATTCCGAGAGAATCCGAACTCACCTTCTAAACGTAAACGTTCACTGGCGGCCCGACGCGGCCCAGAAAACACCCCGGAAACTCGGCGCGCAGCTGAAGTGGGGCGGGGCAACGCAGAGCCGCCAGGCAAGCAGCCAGGAGATCAGACCATCTCCTTTTCAGCCCTCCCCTCCCTCCCCCCCACTGTTCAAGCCTCTTCCCCGATGCCCGTCCCCCGTCCACCAGCCCTCGCAGAAATCGAACGCACGCCTACGCCGTAGGCTCCAAATCGCGGGCCAGCTTCGCGGCCCACTCGTGGGGGCACTTGCCCTCGGGCGACTCGTAGCACCACGCCCTATAAGCACAGATCGCAAAACAGCCTACCTCGCCGCACTTGATGAAGCCGCGGCTGATGTCGAAAAGCTTCGAGGCCACGCGCCGCCGCCCGTTGTCTGGATCCTTGAGAAGGCGGTGCCCTGGAGGAACCCACTGCATGGCATCATCCTGCGAAGCAAACGCGCTCTCTATCTGGGGCGGCTCCCCTCCCTCCACCCCCATCCCTCCCATAGTTCCCTTCCCCCCCTCCCTCCCCTCCCCTCCCCACCCCTCCCCCCCCCCCCCCCTCTGCGTGAGTCTGAACATGGGCGAGGCTGAGTACCATTGGATATGAGTGTGTATGTGTGTGCATACTGAATTCGGCTGAGTCTGGGTATGAGTGCGTTTGGGAGTGCGCGCCTCTTTGCACAAGTGAGTCTGAGTGTGAGTGACTCTGAGTGGTATGATTAAGTGGGAGCGGCCCGAGAAGTCTGAGTGTGAGTGGTCCAACTGCGAACTGCGAAGTGCGATGGTGAGTGGTCTGAGTGCGAGTGGTCTGGGAGCCCTGCGGGGGCCCGAACGGCTGACCCGAAGGGCAGCGCCGCGCAAGGGTCTTGCGGCGCATCCCCCAGACGCCCCCGACCCAAGAAGCGTCTAAGACGGTTGGGGCATTGGAAACGCCGACGCGTTTACACGGAAGCCCAGGGCTGGGCCACCCACAGACACAACGAAAGAGAAGGACAGCCCAATCATTCCGCCCCCGCACGGCACGACACATCATCACCCGAGAGGCACCAAGAAAGACCGACCCCGAAACATGGTTTCAAAACGGGCTCCTTGGAGAGCATCTCGTCCACGATGGGGGCCATCGGCTTGCGCTGGGCCTTCCTGCCAGCGGGGCCCTTCGCCTTGGCCGCTGCCGCGGGGGACGCGACGCCCTTGTTCAGTGCCTTGCGCACCTCGTTCTCGAACTTTGCAATCTCGTCAAGCAGTGGTTGGATAACATACGATTGTTCGGCCTCCTTCTTGGCCAGCTCCGACAAATCCTTCAGGTCGTCGGGCTCCGCGACCCCCAGCAGAGCTTCGCCGTCCCACTCCACGAGCTCCCCCTTGTCGTCGGGGAAGGCTGCGACTGTAACCCGCCGCGGCAATATCTCCAGGAGCTCCTCATCCCTAATGAGCGGCCACTCGTGCATGATGCTGGCTTTCAGCAGGTCGAACAAGCTGCCCGCGCCCGCGACCTGGACGCCGTAGTCCTGACAGCACATGGGGACACGCATCTCCACAACCAAAGTTTCATACGCAGTGCAACGGGGTGTCGGTGGGATCGCGCGTGTGATAACAACCCATTGCGCTGCGCTGCGAAACTCTGCATCGCGGCGTTGCGTCAGCCTAGGTGCTTGCGCACCCACGCGACGCCAAGGTTGTAGAAGCAGCTCTTGGCCGCCAGCTGCGTAAGTGATATAGGTTTCTTGGGCACCTGCGCAGCCGCGACGACGTTGAGGCCCACTCCGTCAACGCCGATGCCCTTGGACTTCATCGCCAGCGGCCCTCCAACAATACACATCGCACTGCGCACCACGACATTGCATACCACCCACAGTGCACCCGCGCGAGCGCCGTCGGAACCCACAAGAGGGGGGCCCACAGGGCACCAGTTCGAGCGCCATCGGAACCCACAAGAGCCCCACGCGGGAGCCACGGGAGTTCTGGACGAGCAAGATACCAAGAAAAGGTGGAGCGAAGGGGGAGCGAGGCAGATGAGGAGACGCAGAAGTGGGAGGATGAGAAGGGGGGAGGGGGAGGAGAGGGAGGAGGTATATGAGGAGAGACGGGGATCGGTGGCGCGAGGGAAAGGGGTCGTTCTTGGGCGACCGTCCTCGTCACTTTTCCCCCCCTCCCTTCCCTCGTCCCCCTCCCCTGTCGGCATCCCTTGCCCGTCCTCACCCTCCTCGTCCTCCTCCTCGTCCGTTTCTGCGTCATCCCTCCACTCGTGGTTTTAATATTGCATGGGGGGCAGTTGGCACGTGTGCCACCCTCGACGGCCTAACCACTCGATCTTGTAGGTCTCGAACTTCGTGGGGCTCAAGTCGCTGACGGTCTGCCAAATCAACTCCTTGTGGCTGATGTCGAGGTCTGGCGCCTAGTACGACAGCGCCCCAACTTTGAACGACTTCGCTGGCCAGCAAAGCACCGACGACACGCCCTTGCCACTGATGGAGAATATCCACTTGTGGTTGGCGGCACCCTTGAGCCTGAACAGCGTTCCGTGGGGAACAGCTTGGCTGCACCACTTCAGAGAGACAGCATCCAAATTGTTCGTCCTCACGCGGTCCCTCAGAAACTCGATGTCGGCAAACTGCTGCATCTGGCTTTCGGCGTTGAACGAGACCCATGAAGGCGTAGCAGCGGTGCCCTTCACGTTCTTCATGTCAACCGACGTCTTCCGCTTCGAACCGCTGAACCATTGAGAGGGGAGCTTCTCGCCGAGCCCCTTGCCAGGTAAGACCGACGTCTTGAAGTCGACGTGCCTGTATTTGAACACGTCGGTCAGCACTTTGCGCTGCAAATGTGTTGTCCATTTCCTGATCTTCCCAACGACCTACCACGTGGACCCAAGCGCGCTGGCGTCGCAGCCCAGGGGCATGCCAAGACGCGCCCACGTCACATCCAACGTAGAGACCACTCTGGGCGCGTTGGCCCATAGCTGGATGCGAGTAGGCGAGTCATGTCATGCCGACGGTCCGCAAGAACAATGGCTTAGATTCACGTAAGTGCCTTGTTCTCCTGAGAACGCTTCTCGATCGTGCAAACGGTCTTAATCAAGTTCTCCATGACCAGGGTGGCGCGGACGCTGTTGCCAGTGCGTAAGTTGGCCATGCAATTGCCGCCGGCGCTCTCGTACCCGAAGAAGCTCAGGTTGTCAGCGAAGTCGTGGAACATCGCTGTGTTACAGAAGCTCCTGGCTGCAAGATGTTTGATCCCTGGTTCTGGCCTAGCCGCAATGATCTGCCAGTCCTCGCAGACGCCTTTGGAATCCGCCACCGTGCCCCCTGCCACGTTGAGGCGTGCTGGAATGCCAAGTGCTGTCTGGTGGATTTTGCCATCTTCTAAGGCCCCCCCCCCCCCCCTCTGGCCCGCGCCCCCCTGCATGGATCGCCCCCTCTTCCCGAGGCTCTGTCGGCGCCAAGGCGCGCCTCTGGCGCCCTCCAAGGCGCCCAAGATGTCCAAGATGGCTGCCAAGACGGACCTGGAGGAAAGTTGCCACGATAGCCACATGACTCCAGGACGGCCTCAAGGCCCCAAAGAAGCTCCAAGAGGACCCCCAAGAGGGCCCAAAGAAGCACACATCCTTGATTTCCACTGTGGTATCCAATGTTGTGTTTCACGCTATCGCTTCGTCGAGCTCCTGACGCTCCAAGACGACCACCGCGGCCCCCAAGACCGCCCCACGATGGCCCAAGAAGCCCCTGCGAGGGCCGCAGGACGGCCCCAGAGGTCTTCAGAACGGCCCAAGGGGCGCCCAAGGCAGCCCAAGATGGCCCCAAGAGGGGCCCAAGAGAGGGACCAGGAACCGAACATTCGAGCCTTCCGCCCGAAGAAGACCCCAGGACGCCCCAAGAGGCTTCCAAGAAGCCCCAATGGCTCCCAAGAGGCACCCAAGAGGCCCCAACACTGCCCCAAACAAGCCCCCGAGAGGCCCCCCACGATATCCCCACGATCGTAGTCATCATCCTCACTACCTTCATCATCATCATCATCAGCATCATCATCATCAGCAGCAGCATCATCATCAGCATCAGCATCAGCAGCATCACCAGCATCAGCATCATCATCGTCATCAGCATGAGCATCACCAGCATCATCATTATCGCCATCATTATCAGCATCATCACCAACAAACTCAGCATCAACACCAGCGTCAGTATCAGCATCGTCGTCACCGTCAGCATCATCATCATCAGGGTGGCCACCCATCGCGAGGGTCGTTTCCCGTGCGCCCTCGAACGAGAGCCGCCGAGCATGATGTGGCGGGACGTGCCGCAGGCAGCTGGATACTCCAAGCATTCCTGAACCTCGGCAGGCTTCGAAGAGAGCAACTGCGCTGCCCTGCCTGGAAAGCCGCGCCAATCAGCCTGGCACGCGAGGGCCCTCCTGCCCACGAGACCGAACGCCACGCTCACGGCAGCAGTGAGGTTCGTCTTTTCGTCGAGCAGCTCAAAGTGCACCTTCTCGTCGCTCGGCTTGTGGCCCAAGGTGGTCAGGTCGACTTCGAAGCCCATGTCGTTCAGTTGCTCCAAGCTCTGCAGAGAGCGCAGCACCTTCTTGCATGTCTGGAACTCGTGGCCTCTGCTGCACCGCGCGCCGTAGTCGCTCGAGCCACGGGCACCGTTGTGGAACTTGGCTTGCCCCCCCCCTGGGCAACCTGCACGGGCTTCGAGATTTCGTAGGATATTCTGGCTGGGCGGGCGATGTTCGGGTTCATGAGCAGCTTGAGGGCACAATGGATGGTGTTGCGCGTGTCGGCCCTGGCGTCCGTGACGCTTTTAGCGAGCTCTTGCTTCATGGAGGCCTTGGAGGAAGACGCAGCCCCGTCGTCCTTCGGCTTCGTGTCCACCTGCACCTTGCCGCCGAATTTGAACAGCTCCTGGCCGCAAACAGAATCGCCACTGAGTGCGTAGCTCACCAGCCACACTAGTTTTGGAACCCAGGGCAAAACTTCACAGGGCCACAAGGACGCTGGCATGGTGGCTGGTAAGCGAACACCCGCGGCAATTCGCTTGCAGCTTCGGTATCCTTCAGGTCTTTGATGTAGCCGAGGTGAATACCCAACTACATCCACATGGCCACCCGCTCGTGCCAGGTCGGCTTGCGGTGTTCGATGACGGCGTGCAGCGAATGGAATCTGCACGTGGCCAGTCGAGGGCCTTGTACCATCAAGCCCCGTCCAGTCCCCATGCTCTGCCACGCCGCCTCTGCGTAGTCAGGGTCGAACAGCCTGGTGGCCCCCCCCCCCATGTCAGCAGCAATGTGTGGGGGGAAATGTTGGAATATGGGGCACGTGTGGTCCCGCTGCTGCTTGTATTGGACCGCCGCGTCGATCGACTTGATGTGGAAGCCCGAGCTGTCGAACGGGCCGAAGAACGCATTGCCGACAATATAGCGATGCTGGTCCAATCCTCGGGGGCGGCAGCATTGTCATCGTCCTCGTCGAACTCGCTCGTGGCGCCGAAGTCGGAAAACTCCTGCGGCGAAGGGGGAAGGGGCACAACGTCCTGCCCCCCTGCCCATCCTCCTCGTCGCCCGCATCAATCCTCCTCAACTTCCTCCTGCTCCTCCTCCTTGCCATCTTCTTCGTCCTCGACCGCCCTCTCCCTCCTCCATCGCCCCTGTCCTCCTCTTGCTACACCTAATTTCTATTTAAGCAGGAGCAGTAGCAGGGTAGATTGGATGGGGAGGTCCTCAACCACGATAGCTGGGTGGTGGCGCGAGCCCAACATAGACGTAGACCAGCCCCAGCGCGCCCCTGGGCACGCGCCACTCCTGTGCCCTGTGGCGGAGGATGAGCGTCGCCCCCGCCGCGACTGCCTCACGCAAGGGATCGACGCATCGCGAGAACGAAAGGTAGGGCACCGGGGCGGGGCGATACTCAACAATAGGCTGCAAGTGATCTCGAACAAGTATGGCGTGGAGCCGCACACAAGCATCGCGCACAATCCTCGCGTTGCCACCGACCGACTCATCCGACACATCGAAAGCACGGTCGACCAGTCCAGGAGACGTGCAAGCCCTGGACAAGGAGTGGTCGGGGTCGAGCACCCAGATGCCCACGGGCTGGCTAGCCCTCGGCGCAGGGAGGCGCACCCCCCAATAGATTGTGGACCCGTCTATGTCCATATGGATATGGGCGCGCGTGCGCCGGGGCCAAACTCGCCACGGACGCGAGCCAATAGCAACGCATAGCCACATTTCGTGGGTTTGTTCCTTCTGCAGCGGCGATGGGGGAAGCCCCCCTGAACCTCGGGGGGCCGACTCATCTTCCCCCCGCTCCTTCTTTCCGTTGTTTCCTACTACTACTACTCCTCGCTCTCTTCCTCCTTATCCTCCCCCCCCTCCTCGTTCCCGCCCCCCTCGTCCTCCCCGTCGTCCTCCCCCATCGCCCCCCTCCTCATCATCATCGCCCTCGTCTTCCTCCCCCCATCCTGCGCGCCCGTCCCATCCTCCGCGCCCGTCGCGTCTCCCGAACCCGCCCACCTCCTCGCGCCCCCCCCCCTCCCTGCCAACCCCCGATCCCCTTTATTGCGTTGGTTGTCGTCCAGAAATTGCATGGGGCGCCCTCCAGAGCAAATGTGGATTTCAGATTTTGCCCTGGAATTCCTGGGTTTTGAAAATTTACGTTTCGGTGAGACAAGAGCGTGTTTCTCAAAATGCACTCTGCTGGCGCCATGAGACAACCATGGTGGCGTGGCATGAGACAGCGCGCGGTTGGGGAAGCGCGGGCGGGGCCCCCGAGACCCGCGGCGCGGGGCCCCCGCAACCGGCGGGCCGCCTTGGGCCCACCCCCCCCCGTGGACGGCCAGGTGGCAGGGCGCTCCTTGTCCAACATCCTTGTCCTCATATTCCTTCTCTGCCTCCTCATCCCCCCCCTTCCCGCGTTTTTTTGGGAGCTGGGGGGGGGCTCGTTGACCCCGGCAGATGCAGCGACCCCAGCGCTGGCAGAGCGCGCGCGCATGGATATTCACCGTGCCCCCTAGCACGTTGAGGCCTGGTAGACTGCCAAGGGCTGCCTGGTAGGGTCTCTGTAATTTTCTCAGAG